CTCTACACTGGGATGGTTGCTGTCCGAAAATGTTTTCTGCCAGTAGTTTGTTTGCTTACTTGTAAAATATAATATACCTACGCTTTTAAATTATATATTTTATTTTTCATTATCTTTGAAAAATAATTAAAATACCGAAATGATTGGCAAAAAAAAAAAAATGAATAAAGGAAGGAAATTGAACAACACTGCATAATTTCAATTGGAGAGAGTCAGGATTTTTACAATCAGTCCAACAAAATGAAAAAAAACGAATATCCAATCTGCTTCGCATTAATCAAGCAAGTCTCTTTTCCCACCGTCACACAATCAGCTCCTCCATGTTACATTCAATCTCACGTATGTGTTTTTTTCATTCGTCGTTACTTATTCTTGAACACACACACACACATATATATATATATATATATATATATATATATATATATATTTCCTGTTGTATCTTTTTGTTGGTGTTTATTTCTCTTTCTCTTATTTGCGTGGATTCCCTCTCTCCCTGACGAGCCAGAACTCGTCGGCTGTCCGAGCGAATACTACTTTCCGTTATGATATTAAGTTTTGTTTCTTTCTCGTGTCTACTTTAGTCGTGTTTTCTTCTCTTTGTTGTTTTATTTTTATACGTCCTGCTTTATTTTCCATTTGCAATCTCATCCAATATATAAACGCCCAGCAACCGCAATTGCCTTTTTCCTTTTCGCTAACGCTGCGACTGATCCTAGCAGGAAAATGTCGGAGCGGGTCAGGGAAAAGGACGAGATCTTGTTAGCAAGGAAAACAAAAAGCTAACATGTGACCTTATCAACCGGAGAAACCTTCTCGAACTGACCTTTCTCCCAAGCGTTAACACATGCAACCAAACCACTGCAGATGCCAATATGGTTTATGCAACTGATTACATACGACAATATTTGCATTTTTTATTTTTTATAAAGTATTTATTCTTAATTCAAATTTTTGCTACCTTATTTCGGTGTGGGGGGGAGGTCAGCGTGAACAGCAGTGAGGGAACTAATCATTTGGTTATTTTTTTTTAATATATGTTTTTATTAGCGTACATATTGCGTTATTTTTTATTTACATTCATTTTTTTATGTCTTTATTGTCATTTTCTCGTTTTATTTTTCCACCTATTTTTCCCTTTTATTTGGATTTTCATCCCTTTCCCAATTTAGCTTTTTTTAATCTTGTAATTTTTATTCGCCATTTTTTTCTATATTTAAATCTGTTATTTTTTTATTCCTTTCCTCTGTCCTTCTTTTCCTTCATTTTAATTTTCATATATTCTCTTTCTCTCTCTTCCCTTTTTCAACATAATTCCATTTCTTTTTTCTCTTTACGCTTTTTTTTATCCACTTCTATTTATTTTTTCAATTCCTTTCTTCTGTTTTAGATTCAACATAGTTTTCTTCTTTGTTCTGTTTTCTTTTAATTATTTTCTCTTTTAAACTTTTCGGATTCATTTTGATTCCTTAAATGTTCTTTTCTTCTATTATTCGTCCTTCGTTCTTTTTTTTCATTCCTTCCTTTAATGATTATTCATTATTCCAACCATTTTCCTTCATAGTGTTTCATTCCTGTTCTCAAAATTAAGCAATACTTTTCATTCAACACTTTCTTTTTAATGTTTTTTTTTCTTTTATAACTAAAAATGTTTTCCTCCCATACAGCTTCATTAAAAACACTTATTTATTCTCCTCTTCTCAGCTATTCTTCCTCTTGTCTTTCTTGCCTGTTTAAATTTTTCCGTCTGCTTGCTTTCTCTTCATCATTATTTTCAGTGCGTTAATTTCCTTCTTTCTATGTGTATTACATTGCATTCTCTTTTGTTGACCCTTCAAAAAGTGAACACGAGAAATGAAAGAAAAAGCTTTCTTTTTTTTTTCTTTTGTTCCTCTCACTCATTTATCTTTCTTTCTTTTTTTTATTTTTTCTTTATGTAAATTCTTCCTCTTTGTAAATTGTTTTTGTGTTATATTTTTTACTGTGCACTCTTTTTAGTTTTATGATCAAAATTGTTTCGTCTCTTCTTGTACAACTGCCAATCAAAAAGTTTTGCCTCCTCGACTTTAATTACAACAGATTTAATAATAAAAGCACATAAATCATACCAAAAGTCTGTCTCGTGAGATTAATCACGACTGATTACTGAGTTCGATCCTCATTCGCTGCTCTATGCTTTCGGCTTTGTATCACATCTAAGCTAGGCTTAGAAAATCACCATAGAGCAAAGCAAAATTAACCCCAATGTATACGAATTGCGAATCTTTTAGGTATACTCTTGTTCACACAAAACACGGCTCGTGTGCTATTCAAGGCAGAGAGATATTGAATAAGGTTGCTTCAGGTACGTACAAGGACTGAGTAAGTGCTGAATACTATGATGATATGTAGGATAGATAACGGTCGATCTTAGACACGAAGAAGTTAAGACGATAGTGATTGAGGAAACATGTTTCCGGTTGTCAGTTCGACAACGTAACCGTTCTGAGAAAAGAAGCTGTCGGAGATGAGCTTACTTTTTAGTAATGAAATACGAAGGCAGTAAGGATAAGTTGTACGGGACATGGTGGCTTCTATCCGTAAAGGTCCGGATTGGCGGAGTTAAAAGAATTAAAGAAGGCAATTTGTCTGAACAGCTCCCATGAAAATAGCGATAATATAGCAAAAGGAGTAGCAACTTTTCGCCTGCGGATTGAGGGTGGAAAATAATCCTTAACTCACAAGGTTGCGTAGATGCTTTTGAACGCTTGTCAAGGCTGGAAAGAGAGGACTGGGCAGTTCTAGCCCAGGTACGACAGGATTAATCCATTTTTGGTCTAATCTGGCCCTTGTAAAAATAGCACCTGGCAGAAGATTTCAGAAAACTTTCTGTGGTGGTTTAAGAAACCGACCATTTTTTCAGCATCTATATATGTTATTCCAATTTTTGATGAGGGTATTTATACCTGTCTCGTAGAAAATTCTTGGCTGCTTCAATACCTGTACGTGTTATGAGGATTTTAGATGAAAAATAATGCTTGATCCTTGACTTGAAAATGTTAAGATTGCTGCGCTCGGAGAAATATCTACGTTAGAGTCATTTCCAGAAAGCAGCGATTCCTTTGACGTAAACTTTCTCCTTATAAATGGAATACGATTGAAACGCTTCCTGAGTTTGATGATACGGAAGCAAGACCTCTGATTGGAAGATTTTGAGGAGTGTGGAACCACCACTTAATTGCTATTGTTCCCAGGTCCACCATGATCCGGAGTTGTAGCTCATGTTAAGGTCCCAGATATGCGCAAATAGTTAACCCTCAAACTGCAATCAAAATAGTATGAAAGTGTAGAAATATATTTTTATAATAAAGATGTCAGATATATATTTTTGTAACAAAATAATTAACAACAATACGTTTTTGTAAACATATTTTTAAAAAATTAACAGCAATAGGTTTTTGTAATCAAAAAATATTACCAGCAGTACATTTTTGTAGAAAAAAATATTAGTACCAGCAATACATTTTTGTAAAAGAAATTACTAATACTCCCAAGAATATGAAATTTCAACATTCAATGACATAAGTAGTTGATATGCTGTTAAACAAACAAAACAAGCAAATAAATGGCTGAAATGAGGGTGATTCGATTCTACGTGACGTGGCGGGTTCTAAGTGTAAAAGGATGAAATGGTGGAACTAGGGAATGGAGCCTGCACGAATATTTTCCATGGAAAATAAAGATCGAGTAGCTACAGGAAATGCCATCTTTTATTTTTGGAAAATAGTTAAGAATAAGTCCTTACGTAAAGTAATTTAACTCTATCAAGACTGAAAAGTAAAAATTGTTCTGCTCCCGCCCAGGTAAGACCGCAATTTTCCATTTGTGGTCTAATCTGGCTCTTGTAAAAATAAAGAATTGCAGAAGGAATCAAGGAATTTGGGGTCAGTACTCGGACCGATAATTTTTGCAGAATGTGCGTTCTTAAATATCTCTCGCCTTGCCAAAATTATATTGCGTTCTTTTTTTTTTCTCATTGTCCTGATGTCTTTACGTAATGACGTTAAACATTTGATGGAAAATACTACTACATATTACGTAGATGTATCAGAGGACAACGTTCAAATTCAGGAAGAAACTGAATATCGAATACAGAAGTTTGGAAAGAGAACTGGTCTTAATTGTTTCTTTTTAAAATTCACACCCGAAGGTATGATGAAGTAATAAAAGACATCCCCCGCAAAGTAAAAATACTGGATACACCTACAATTCCAGTTCCAAGACCTAGTGCCTTACCTGAGACCCCTACACCAGTGCCACAAACATTCGACGCTGGAATAACGCCGAACACTGCTCAGTCGTCTACAATAACACGGACAAAAACCCCTAGGGCATTATCCAGACTACTTCCGCACAACCAGCCAGGTTTAAAAGAACTCATCCCTCCCCAAAGGCCACTACCCACACGCGATGGGGGGGAAGGAGATATAGAATAACAATAATAAACAGCACTTACCGGTGTAAAGGTCCCAGCTAGCGTCCAGCTGGCAGACAAAAATAAAGCAGGTTGTAACTTAATACAAACCCTGCAAACTAACATCTGAATCAAGCTGGTATTTATATAGAAATACCTCCATTCAGGTACCAGCAGCGAATCACAGCCCAAGCAATGGACTATCCCACTTTAGCACAATGAGATGCTCTATGGCAACATAAATAGCTCTCTTTCTAAAGGTTGGATTATTGTTCACTTAGCTTGCTCCACAACTAAGTGTTTATCTCTACCACGTGATTTTTCTACACTTCTTTGCCTATTTTTTTCTATATCCTATTTTTTCTTCATTCTTTCACTTTTCTACTGTAATTACATTTTTCATTTTTTTTTTTTTTTCATTTTTCTACTATAATTACTTTTTTCTTCATTCTTTTTTTTACCCTGGGAATTTTTTCACTCATAACCTGTCATTTGCTTGATTTCTTCATTTTTCCTTGTTTTTTATTAATTCATTCCGTCTTTCTTTATGTCTTTCTTTCGTCTTTTTAGTTCGTTTCTTCCTTTTGTGTTTTCATTCTTTTCTCCTTTTACATTAATTACACTTTTCAATTCTATTTTTTCTCCCTTTTTAAATTCTTTCTTTCTTCTTTATTCTGTCTCTTCATTTTTATTCCTTCATTTTTCTTTCATTTTTAATTCATTTCTATTTCCTTGTATCGTTCTTATATATTCATTCCATATCCTTTTCTTCCCTTCATTCTATTTAATTATTTATTATTTCCTTTCTTTCTGTCAACTTTTAACTTTATTCTTATTTACTTTCTTTCATTGTTCTTTATCATTCTTTCCTATATCCTTTACTTACTTTATTCATTCTAATGATTTTGTTCATTCTCATCTCCATTCTTTTCTTCCTTCTTTTCAAATACATTCTAATCTTTATTTTTCTTTCTTTCATCTTTTTAAGTAAAGCTGACCTATATTGTTTCCTTCATTATTTGAATTCATTCTTATCTCTTTTTACTTCTTTATCATTTCTTTCTTTCTTCAGGTTTCTCTTTCTTTATCAATTCCTTCATTTTCTTCCTTCCTTCTTTACACTTACTTTTTTCTATATTTCTTCCATCATTAATTCCTTTTTCTCACTTTCTTTCTTCATTCCTTTCTTTATATTTTTTATTTTTTTCCTTTCTATATTTCTTCACTATTTTCATTCGTTTTTCTTTTATCAACTTTTTATTCATTTCATCATTCTTTCCTTTATTTCCTGTTCTTTGCCTTTCTTATTTTATTTCTCCCTTCGCATTTTTCATTTTTTTTTTCATTTCCTTATGTTTCTTTCTTTTTTTTTCCTTCATTTTTTCCAGTCCATAATTCCTTCATTCATCCCATTTCCTTTGATTCTTTCACTTTTCTTCTTTTCCGGCACTTTCCTGGTTTCCTTTTTTAGCTCTCTTTTTTTATTCTTTCTTTTCATTCTTCTTTCCATATGTCTATTTTTCTTTCTTCATTACTTCTTAGAAAACTTTTCAGTCTCCAGCTCAGCAAAAGTTTAATTTCATAAAATATGCAATTTCATCTTTAATGTTCGCTCATATTTTTTCTACTTAATTTGTTTCGTGCGATATTAAAAAACCAAGATTGGATCTTCTAGGCGGGTATTTCTTTTATTGGAGTCAGATTGAGGTGACAGGGGCAAAATACTACCAACCACGATCTATGAACTCCCTGCTCCCATGGGGCCGCTCCGTGAGCTGTGCAGACCTTTGGCGAGCCTCAAAGTCTCATGTGCATATGGTAGAGAAGTATTCATGATTAAGAAGTCAAAACATGCAGAGATAGATAGATAGATAGATAGATAGATCACGAAAAGTCTGATAGATTTTGTGCGTCCTCTTTTCGAACGTGGAAACTACATTCTCGTGTGGATGTAAGTGGGTGGGTGTTAAAATATGTAGTTATGTAGTACTTCCCCCGTCAAGAATACATCTCAGAGGCAACTGAGCTAACCATATACGACCTGGAGCAAAAAAATCAACTTTCTGTGTAAAAAAATTACATTTCAACTTAATGGACAGGTATCTTTGTTAAAAAGAAAAAACATCTTGAGAATCGGGTTAAAAATCATAATTTCATACCACTGCGATATTTTGAAATCGAACTTACACAAATTTGAAAGACATTTGCCCTGACCATCTCTTAAAGATAATGGTTCAAATTTCTGACTAACTGGAATATTGTCTTTAAGAAAGAACAAAATTGAAAAAGAATAGCGTGATCAACTTATCCGTAAGTGTCGAGAACAGGGAGAATGGGATTTCAAGTATCTATGCCACTGGAAAACTGATGAATAAATCAGGACAAAGGGTATTCACTCTCTTTTTTTCCTGACCTGATATAATCGAACTCTAAGGTCGATCAATAGTCAGATAAAACGTGTCTGGTTAATTTGGGCTTTACGTGGAACAATCGACAGACCGGGAAAATTGATACAGAGCAGATACCCAATTTAAATTGGCCGGATCGAAGTGTCCTCTTATATTCCTTACACTGTGGAGAGAGGGGCGTTGACTATTGTCTGGAAAACTATTTCCGTTGATTAGATTTGGCGTATGCCAAAGGAAGAAAATGGTACGCACATACATGTATACATATATACATATATACGAACAAACATTACGACCGACGACATATGTCAAGAATGACAGCTATTGTCTGGGAACAGCTACGTGTGTCAAGGTCAGAAGTCTCTTAACAGATAAGCTTGTTTACTTTTATTTCAAACTAGCAGCTATACCGAGCTGAACGATCAGTAAAAGCGTTCAATTAGAATGGAGCAAAAACAGCATCATGTTTAGATTTAACAGACTTTATCATCATCAATTCCTTTAACGTACTTTCATTAAAAACATTTTGAATTAATGCAGTTACTGATAAGACAGAAGTAGTCTGTATTTATTCAATCAAAGTTAGCCGAAGACATGAATTTGTAAAACAGGAAACATAAAGACCCACTTCAGACCACAATTACTTTTGTCTTTCTGAAATTCAGTTTGTCAATATGCTACCAGGGATGTAAAAGAGGATACATTTATTAAACAATTGTTATGTTTGATAAAAATTGGTTGAAAGATCAACGAAAAATGATAAAGGAACCAGTAAAAATCGCAAGTTTTCGCTATTTGCGCGGGTTTTCACTATATGGGTGAACTCAATTATTAACTTAAATGACTGTTAAACAATCAGCTTATTGAGTGAGGTTTGAGTAATTGCTTTAAGATTGATGGACTTTTAGTTTAAAATTTGTGTTGAAATCGATTTGTGTTGAAATCAATTTTTCGTTTCCCGCGATTTTTCGCTAAACGCAGTGGCGTAGAAATAAAAATGATGTATCGTTAAACTCGTCATGATGTAAGTAACCTGCATACCGAGTTTGAACGAAATCGGGGAAAAAAGTTGAATTTTTCGATTTTTGATCGGCTTTATAGATTATTAATGCTTTTTTAATTATCGATTTTTACCTCTAAGAAGCTATCTCTTACATTGCACTATATATGTGCCAAGTTTTGTCAAAATCGGTTGGACAGATCTCGAGTGAAAAGGTATCACACAGACAGACATACACACGCAGAGACATCCTGTATGTTGAATGACAAATCAACTGTTTCGAGTAATTGGAAAATAAAACCATATGATTATGGCCAAAAGACGAAATGGATTAGTTTGTGGTATGCTCACCTTCATTCGTATTGGTTACCTATTGGTAAAATGCGAAGAATAATTATTGCCAACCACAAACATCGATGTACTGATGTCTAGGCAGTGCTGTGCTAAACGGATGCTTGCGCACGCAAAACTAACAAACGGAAGCGCTTCTATGGCACTGTGTATCGCTCCTTGATGTGTATTAGACTAGGTAAACGTAGGATAGAATGCCGAATATAACCAATGTTTCTCACCGAAAGTTTCTTTGATATGCATGCAATCATCAGAACCGAACCAATGTCCTCATATTCCAGCCTTGATCGAATTCAGAAGCGTCTTCAAGGCCATGTGCTTCATGAATTATGTTCCCCTCTAAAACGTTTATCCCACAGAGGAAACATTATATCATGGCAATCTCTATGGTAAGTGTATCCTTAGTTCCAACAGCCATGACCTTCAAAGCTAAGACCCATCATGCTATTCATACTCGGAAAAATCATCACCATTCGCTTCGTATTACATTAGTAAGAAAAAAATGCATTCTGACAGCTGATTTCCAACAACTGCTGTTTTATGGAATAGACGCCGGATTCCTCGACCTCCTATAGCATCAACCACTTTAGGTCGACGTTTAGCCAGTATACTCTTAGGCTCCACTTCTTACCTTTCTCTTGCGTGCAACAAGCCCAATTAGTACACCTGTACCTCGAGTGGCTCATGGGCCTTGTTTTGAGTAATAAAAATATAATAGCTCAATAGAATATACTTGCCTTTTTCGATTCGATTATCAGTACGCTTTGATTGGGAGATTTTGGAAGCGTGGAAGCACCTTTTTGCTCTTATTCTCTGGTTCACTTTGACACGGGATATGCAATAATGGAGCCCTCAAACAAAAAAAAAACATCATAAAATTTTAAAATGTCATTTTATAGTACAATTACCAGCAATACAGTTTTAAATAAATAAAAAAAATCCATTAATACACAATTATATAAGAATTACCAACAATACATGTTTATAGTAAAATGACCACCAACACATTTTATCTGTAGTTGAAAGTATACAATATTTCGGCATTAAATAACCCGTACAGGTTGATATACCGCTAAACAAAAAAAAAAAAAAAAAACATAACGTTACAAATACTGGGGAATATATGACTGAATAAAAAGCCACTGTACTTTATATTCTGAAGAATATACTTGCTCAACGAAAGTGTAATATTTTTACGACATAACCAATTATTTCTTTCCTGTGCATTAGAGAGACTCGTTTTTATCAAGATGGATCGTTTGGAACGTCGTCATAAGATAGAAGAAATCAAGTAAAATAGTTTGATTATTAATAATTGTATGCACCAATTAATAATAATTAAGTAAATATAAGATTATGCATTCTGAGAATATCATGTCGGAGATACAGAAATAACGAAGAAGATTCAAGCAAAATGGAAGCAAAAATGATACTTATACATGGAATCAGAAAGAGAAAGTTTAAATTACTATTTAGAAAGAAGGCTTGGATAATTTGACACGAATTGAACAGCGTGAGGGACAGAGTAAAACAAGGGGTAAACTACTTAATTAGCTTCCCTAAATTGACGCCAGAACTGTGATTGGAGGCGATGGTAGAAATACAAACCTTACTAAAAGCTCAAAAGTATAAGAAGTTGAGGAGAACCACATTCACCTTAAAGAAATTGGCATATAGTAGAAGAAAAGATTGGCTGATTTGTTTTTTACGGCTTATCAACCTTTTGCATTTTTTTTTAAAGCCAGAAATTATTTTTAGATTGTAAGAATGTTTTGGAGATTATAATGATTTACTGATATAAACCATACTAATTAACCCATAGGTGGGAGGAGAAGTGGATTCATAACTTTTCCAAGGGTATTTGCGTGTAAGTGAATATAAAGTACCCGATTGATTCCGAGTTTTTTTCTATTACACCACTTGAACATCCAAACTTAAAACACCTGGTATTCTCAAGCAGTCATCCATATCGTTACTCACCAGTCTCGATGTTGCTTAACTTCGGTGATTGTACGAGAACTGGTGTTAAGGGAAACGAAAACGAAGAAGCATAGCATTCATCATCATCCTCTTTCGACATTCCTGTGGTTGGTCGGAACTCCATTAACAATCCCTTTTCATATTGCTTGGCCCTGCTTTGCCATCCCCAGATACCCGGTGTCCAACCATGGGTCCAGAGCCATGGTGACTGGGAAAGATGGATGCCAAAGAAGTAAGGATGAGGCGATCTCCCCGTCCATTCGGTGGCAGTGGACGGCAAACTGAAATCGCATTTATTGGGTTTAAGTGTGATTGGTCTCATTTCTCCATAAATTGTGTTAAGCATTTCATGAGATCTCCAACTGATATTCTGGATTTTTCACTCTATCCTCTAAGTAGATTTGTATCTTTCCATCCACTCGTCTTTCAGGACGAACAGATAATGCCTAAGGATGCCTAAGTTTCTGATACAGGTTTTAAAGATGATGGAGGATTTGAGCGCCAAAACTTGTGAAATTTGTTACATGCATCCCAGGAAATAGTTTTCAGATGTTGAAGTGTTCTTGGGAATCTATTATGTGAGATTCAAGCTGTTTTAAGTCCTTAACTCTTTTGATGTTATTTTCATATTATTGAGTGACTTCAGTATAGCTTTAGAAATGTATAAACAAATAGTTGGTGCAAATTTAGAATATTGACGTAAAGTTTTAGTTTCTAGATAATCAGGTTCGACATGTCTTGGCTTCTTTGTGCTAGACTTGACGTTTTGTCTCACTATAAAATTGTTTAAATAACTTGTAATTAAAAACTACCGCTGGAAACTTTCGCATATGCGTAT